AGGCGGGCTCGGTGCTGGCCGTGCCCTGCAGCGCCGCGGTGTGGGGGCCGGGGGGCCTGGGAGCGCCCGGTCAGGGGCTGCAGCGGCGCGGGGCCCTCGGAACAGCTCGGTGTACCGGGGCAGCCCGCGGAAACCCCGCGCGGTGTGAGCGGGTCTTTCTGTTGCAGCGCCCCCGGGGAGGCGGGGAGGAGAGGTGAAGGTGATGCTGAGGACTCTGCTGCTTTGCAGTGTGTAGAAGGTAACTTCTCCATTTCAGACCTGCCCTTGGGGTGTCTCCAGTTTTTCCCTTCAGCTGTCTCACTAGGGGTTATAATGGGTTAGAAATTGTCTTTTTCCAGACATTTTTCTGTATGCTTTGGTGTTTAAAAGTGGCGATTTCATACCATTGTTAACAAGGATCCTGGGGATAGGAAGTGGCTTAGAAGAGGCTTGGGTGCATCTTGACCATTAGGAGATGCAGCCTTTTTCTGGCAGAGCAAAGAACTCCTGCAATAACAGTCGTTGTCATCAAAGCCTTTCAGGCACGGACTGTTGTCAGGACTGGTTTCTCATCACAGAACCCAAATCTGCTGCAGTACCTCATGGCATTACATAAGACCTGACTGGTTGACACTGATTTCTGAGTTGATGGTCACTATTCTCTTACTGTTTGGTTTTTTATTTAGTACAGCTGAGATCATGGTCTGTTCGTTTGTTCAGAGTTTTAGCAATAGCCTGAATACTTTTCTTGTTAGAGGGTGGATGTTTTGCACTTGTGAAGTTATATATGGCTTTTTGATTTTTTAAAATGTTTTTGTAAATACTTACATATTGGCTATGGATGTTTGCTGTTCGTTACAGGCATGTCACAGCTGCCTTTTGGAGCTCTAGAGCTCTCACAGAGCCAGGACTTTGAGAGTGACTTTGTGCCCAATGAAGGAGATGCCACATGTCAGGTTCACCCTGGAGCTGCTGGCCCTTCTCCCAGACTTGTGAAGAATTATGCTAAAGGTGGTATGTGAAAATGTTCTTGTATTTCTTTTTGTTGCTCTGTCAATTCACTCTGTTTAATGTATAGATGTTACGTTTCTTTGACAGGAAAGAACATATTTGTAGTTTTCAAAAATAAGTTCACAGGTCACTGGTAGTTGAAAATAATGTTGGTTTCTCCTTTCTTTGGGCTGTTTCATGTATTTTCTTGTCACTGTCCCTGGGCTGTCTTGGATTCTTGCACCTCTCTTCCTTAGTTTGTTTCCAGAGTACTCACACAATCTGATACTGAATTCTTTCCCCGTCAAAAACCTCTTCCTGTTCTTTGTTACTATCTCTGATAGTTTAAGATACATTTTTTTTTAAATATAAAGATTGTCTTCATATTTGTGTAATTTACAGACCTACACTTTCCTCTCATTGTATATTAATCCAGGTGACCCAAATAACTATTTTTTTCTCTCTCTTGCTAGAGCTGCAAGGGGACAGCACAGAACCTGTCTGCAGCACAGAGGCACATGCTGCTTTGGAAAGCCAACCACAGAAGTCTGGAAGGTAAAGCAGCCCATGTTCATTGTAGTTCTCTTGCTCTCATTCTGGAAGCTGATTTTTGTCTTTTTTACTAGATTTTTGAATGTAGCAGGGCTCAGGCTTCAAGGCAAAAAAGAAAAATGGAGGGAAAGGTGAAGCACTGGTGAGACCTTTTTGCAGCAACTAACTAAGGATTGCCTTCTCCAGGCCTAGCTGAGAGCAGAGCTGGTGTCAAACTCTTACACACAAAGTTATCAATGGGTTTATTTTTAAGGGAGAGTGCACTGGCTAATAAAATATACTATTAATTTTCTGAAGTTACTGGACTATGTTAAAAGTAATAATTCAGTTTAAGTCACAGAAGTGATTTCAAAATAACTTAATCACTGCAGCACAATCTTTGGTCTCACAGGAGAAATCTAGTGGCTAAGTGCTATCTGTTCCAGGATGCTTTTGAGTTTTTGCTGTTGTAAGCTTTATAACTTTAATAATTTTTAAACGTGAAACTTCAGTTTGCTGAAAGCTATATATCTTTTATGTCATGTAGAATGCTATTAACTCATATCATCATGTTCTTCCAGAAAATAATGTTACAAATGAGGTGAAACAAAATTCCTAGAATCCACATTGAATAGAAGTCAGTAGAACAACCTGCATTCCATTTAAGCATCATTTAGATTGGTAGGAAACTAACAAAACAATTCTGAAAGTGTCAAGGATGAACATGCTGGGTGTTTTCCCCATGGTGCACGCAAGTGAAGACTTCATCTGTGCTGATAAGAAGTTTTCTTTACAATGTTACACTATTACATGATACTTTGGATTTCTCAGCTTAGTGACTGTGTTTTGCTTTCCCAGAACTCTGCAGGAAGCAGAAGAGTGCACCAGGAAACAAATGCCTGCTTGCAACCCCACTAAAACTGGGCAATCCCTGGATTCTGATAACGAGGAGTTGGATATCTTGTCAACTCAGGAAGAGATGTTTCCTGAGAATAATGCAGCAGGTAACGATGGACAATCAGAGCCTAATTGTCTGTCCCAGAGATCATCATAAGCTTCATCCTTACTTGATCTTTTTTGGCATGTAGTGTTTTATGGTGCAGAACACTACAAGTATTTTTCATGTAATTTCTGCTCAAATTGAGAAAACTGTGGAAATGAAAGGCCACAAGCTCTTTCATGGTACTGTGAAGTATGAAGCAATGTCTAAACTTGTTAGAACAGTTACATTTAATTTCCTTTCTTTGTGTGCTCCTTGAAGAACAAACCTGAAAACCCCCCTTTTCCCCTCTTCTGAAACTGGTGCTAACAATGCTCACCTGTGGTAGTGACACAATCTAAAGTGTGAGTAAGTAGTGAAGGCAAATATTGTAGACTTTCTTATGCTGGTTAGCTTTGGCAAAACCTTTGTTCCTCTGATTTGGCTGACTGGTGGAGGGTGGGATCCTGCAATCAAAACCTTCATACCACCATTTTGGTCAGTCTTGTTCCTTATCTAGGTTATTCTTCCTTCCCTATAAGAGAAGAGGTTACATGACATAGGATCAGGAGGGAGGTCGTCGCTGTGTGCCTTGCTAGGAGCAGCTCTGTGGTTTTGGTATCCACAGCTGAAAGGCTAAGAAAGAAATACAAAGTTTCTTAACAATCTTACTAGAGAAAGGCCTAGAAAATGAAGTTTTGAAAGGCAACTTTCATAGTTTATAAAGCATGAGCTAAATTAAGTCTTACTTCATGCTTTTTGTTTAGTTTTAATTTGTGCACAACTACTGTGTCTATAGCAGTATGATCTTGTGCACAAACCGTCTGTGTCTAGAAGGTTCAACAAAACCCTCCAACTCACACCAAGTCAGTGGCTAATGTAGGTGTCTTTTTTTTTTTTGTCAGAACCTTGCCTGTACTTGCATTCCAGTACTGGGTCAAATGTGCTGATAGTGAAGCCACTGTCAATTTTTCTTTAAAAATTCCCAAGCAGGAAGACTTGTGCAGTCTGGCTTAGCCTGATAAAGATTTCTTTTATAGGTACAGACTTACCTTTTCATCTTAACTATGTTATGTTCACATTTCACATACTGAACTTTATGTGCAGTCCTTCTCCAACCGTGTGAAACAGCTTGTCCTTGGCTGCCTGAGAAGTAACTGTGCAGCAGTATGAGTGTAATTCCTCAGGATTTTCTGATCGAGTTGGTTATTGGCCAGATTTCTAATCCTACTTCCTTTTGTTCACACTTCTGCAGGGAGCAGCTGCCCCACAGCCAGGGAGGAAGATGGAGGTTCCCTGGTGTGCACCCCAGCACGCAGCCTGCAGCTCCTGCAGCTCTCTGGACAGGGGCCCCTTGCACAGGAGAGTCATGCCACGTGAGCAAAAAGTCCCTCATCTATTGCAGTAGCTTCATTGCTATTGTGTATTTCCACCACTTTATTCAAGGACTTGTGCTTGATTTTAAACCATCAGTGGTTTAATTTTGCACTATGGGAGGAGCATGGCTTGGCCATGTCATGAGCTGTTGCTGGCCACGTGGCCAGTGGCCCTTTCTGAAGTATTTTGCTAGTGAACATCTCGCACTGTCCTTTTAGGAGAAGACTCCTATTGTGACCAGCTGGAGCTACATCTGTTAAAGCATTGTCTAGAGATGTATGGTCTTCTTTTCCTTGTTTCCTTTTCTTGGTTTGCAGTGTCTCTTCAGGCCTAATTGTTCCTCCTCCCGTTGCCTTTGGATCTGATGCCCTTGTCCCCAGCAGTCCTACTGAGCAAGCAAAAGGTACAGTTTTCTGTGGAGTGCTCTGTGCTTGTGTTTCTGTCTCTTGTGGTTTAGCCTGAGCATGCGGCCTTTTCAAAACCTGCTAGAATTATATTTAAAGGGAGAAGCAGGATTGAGAACACTTCAAGGTAGATGAAGGGAGATCTGTATTTGTGACTGAGATGCTGATGTGTTGTTGATACTTCCTGCATAGCTGTCATAAGAAATTCAGTCCTGTTGGCCAGCTCCTCTTGGCTTGAAAGATGGGAAGTGCTTTGCATGGGATACAGATGGCTGCTTGCAATTGTTCTCCTTTCTTAGGGACAAGCCATTCTTGCTACAGGCAGATATCTGTAAGGCAATAAAAAGTACAGAGGAGGACAGCATCATAACAGTTATTTTACCTTAACTTGGGTGACTTGCACGATATTTTTAAAAGCTTGTGTGTATTTTATGTATGTTCTAGAATTCCAGAATCCCTAAAAACAGGGATTGTTCTGGAGGATACCTTGGGTCTCAGACATTTTCTCTGAGCACCTGTGCACCATCAGGGATAAGATATCCATCCAAGCAAGACTTCTAGTATGATACTAAAACAGCATTCCTTTCTGTGAGATTCCTGTTAGGAAGCGTGAGACTCTTTTAGAATAGATAATTTGTTAGCCAGGGTCTGAATTTGGTTGCATTTTAATAAAGATAGCAAAAGGAAAAAAACCTCTTGGAGAAATGCTTTTCATAAATTTCAGATACCCTTTTCTAACTGTAGAAGTTCTAGACCTGTAGCAAAATAGTTACATGTTTACAAAATGCTTTGTCCCCTGCTTTTAATATTCTGTTAAAAACAAGTATTTTAATAGAATATTGGAAACTTTAGCTACAACACAAGAATGTGCTAGTAACGTGTTTTCTGCTCTTTCAAACCAGATGAACAGGTGGATGTATCTATGACTGCAGAAGGTGGAGAGCTGATCCAGAAGCAGAGAGGAGGTAGCCCAGTGGAGATGGCCATCCCATGTATCCCACCAGGACCACTTGTCCTGCCACAGGCTTCAACTCCAGTGTCCCAGCATGCTCCAGACTTCTTTCCTGGATCTTTACCTATACCATCACAACCAGAATTCTCTCATGTAAGGGTTCATGTAGATATCTTTTCTGAGGTTTTTATATATCTGTTACAGAAAATATGTTTGTGCTTCCCTACTGAGCTGGTTTGCATGGGTGCTTCCCTCTTCCCAGTAGTCAGAGTTATATCGACTATTCTGTGTGGCAGTTTATCCTAGAGAGCAAATGCAGAACAGCTTCGGAGGGCATAGTGAGTTACTGAGTGTAGAATTTTTGTCTTTTAGTCTATGCTAGAAAGTTTATTGTGCTTTTTATTTTCTTTATCTCTTTGAAATACTGCTGCTTTCTGATGCTGAGCTGGGCATCCTGCATCTCAGACTGCATCATAAATTAGACTTCTGTTGGGATAGACCTTCACATGATTTGTCATGGAGAAAGTAAAGCTGTTTTTTAGTAAAGCATTTGTATTCTCCTACAAGGCTAGAAGTAATTTACTGCTTTTTTCAAGTTGCTTATTCTTACTAGCTGTTGTTTCCTTTGTGCTTTTTGATTCTGGAAGCTGCTACTGTTCAAAGGGATTTAACAGACAGGTGGTGGCTTTGTAGCTTGATAATACAAAATCTGTCAATTGATGACAGAAAATGAAGGTTGCATTAGGGACTTCATTAGTCAAGGCAGAGCTTCTCTGTAGCTGAAAGTGGTTTTCATGCTAATATAATAGATTCTGCCAGAGAATCTTTCCGGAACCCTTGGTTGACTAAAAATAGCTTCTGATTTGCCATACTTGACCTGCACCTCATCATTTGGTAGCGAGAGGTGTACTGAGGGCTGTGTCCAGCTTTGCCACAGAGCTACTAAAAAGTGATGGGTGGTAATAACGTTTCTCAGCCAGAACGGGGCAATTATGACTGATATAAATGGGGGGGAAAAGTGTGGAATTTGTTGTATTGGTTTTTTTAATCTGTAGTTTTGTGCTGAGCTTGCTTTGCTGCATAATCCAGTTAGTGTACTAGGTATAACAAATTGACATTCCTACTCTGGATGCCCTGTTGCTCAATGTTGCACTTTGTCATTTTAGGATATCTTTATTCCAACTCCAAGCCCAGCAAAGAAGCATGAAGGAGAAGGAAAAGCTGCTGCTTTAACCCACTCATACTTACCAGGAGATCTCTCTGGACCCACAGATGCTGTGCTGAAGATGTCTGCAGGTGACTCTGTGTCACAGCCTTCCGAGTCCTGCCAGCTGGTGCTCTCTGCCAGCGGCTGCAGCCAGCCCACAGACACAGAGCTCAGCTCAGGCTCTCCCAGCACAGCCTACCAGAGAGACACCAACCAGCCAGAGGTGGTTTCTGAGGGCAAGGCCACTGGCTTGAGCCTCTGTTCTGTGGAGAATGGTGACGTGAAACTGAGGATGGATACAGGTGATCAAGCCTCCTCTGAAAACTATGAAGAAGCAGAAAAGGAGGATTTACAGACTGCAGGAAAGCCTGTCGTGCAGTTAGTTAGTGCAGACGTATCAGGAGATGGGTTAACAGCCTCTGCAGCTGATCAGGAGATGGAGTGTGTTTCTGGAAGTCAGGCTGCTGCAGATCAGTCTGGTCTGCCTGAGATTTTGTCAAGCACTCAGGGTAGAGAAGCACCGTCTGAGGATAATCCATTAGCAGAGGCAGCTGAACATGAGGCCATTCCTGAGACTCAGTGTGAAGAACAAGAAGAAAAACTGCAAGTAAAAGAGAAGGAAATAAATGAAGATGGGTCCCCTGTTAATATAACACTTTCTCAGAGATTTATTCTTGAAAGGGAAGAACAGTGTCATGAAGATATGGAAGTGGAATTTGCTGATGATTCTTGTAAAAATAGCAAAACATTGTCTGATCAGGCTGAAGAATTAGAAAAGATTGAACCAGAAAGCTGGGGAAAAGAAACTTCAAAAGGTTGTACTTTTGGCACCACCGAGGCAAAGAGCACGGATAAACTGTCCTTTAAGGCTGCTTCAGAAAACATGCCAAAGCACAATAAAGTTTTGTATGAGCCTTCTGCAGGGGAGTTACTAGGACAGAACAACAATTCCTTTCCTAAGTTAAAGAGTGATGCTCCATCAAAAGTAGTGTTGTGTGCCAAAGAAGATCCTGGCTGTTCAGAATCAGCACAGATAACAATAACAGATCATCAGCCGCCACCTCCAGACACAGGGGTTGACATGCTGGTGACTCAGCAGGAGAAACAGGTGCCAAAGAACACAGAGGATACTGTCACAGGAAGGAGTCGGGAGCAAGAAGAGGAGATGCAGCCACAGGAGAAGGGAACTGCTAAATCCCCCAGTCCTTTCAGTGGTAAGTGACTGTAGGTTAGTAGCTCACTGGTGTGTATTTGGAAGTGTCAAGGTCAGCTGTGAAGAGTCCTCAGTGTTCTCAAGGAGCATTGATCTTGGGTGCATGTTGAGCAGAGTCTCCTCAGAGCAGCACTGCAGGTGACTGGGTTACAGGCATAACGTGCCTTTACTTTTTTCCCCTTTGTCACACTACTGCAGGCAAGAGTGATAAGGTAATTCTTGTTCCTAACACTCTTGGTGTTTTATGGCAGAAGGACAGAGCAACTTCGGAAACTCAGAATGTTGTCACCTTGGCAATGCTTGGGGTTTTTGTCACTTTTTTTTTTTCCCCCAGAAGCAGCATTGTTTCCTTGAAGGGAGGAAGGTGGGTGGGTGGTTGTTCTTTGCCTCTTCTAGGTCTCCTTACTCTGGTTTGCATGGGTGCTTCCCTCTTCCCAGTAGTCAGAGTTATATCGACTATTCTGTGTGGCAGTTTATCCTAGAGAGCAAATGCAGAACAGCTTCGGAGGGCATAGTGAGTTACTGAGTGTAGAATTTTTGTCTTTTAGTCTATGCTAGAAAGTTTATTGTGCTTTTTATTTTCTTTATCTCTTTGAAATACTGCTGCTTTCTGATGCTGAGCTGGGCATCCTGCATCTCAGACTGCATCATAAATTAGACTTCTGTTGGGATAGACCTTCACATGATTTGTCATGGAGAAAGTAAAGCTGTTTTTTAGTAAAGCATTTGTATTCTCCTACAAGGCTAGAAGTAATTTACTGCTTTTTTCAAGTTGCTTATTCTTACTAGCTGTTGTTTCCTTTGTGCTTTTTGATTCTGGAAGCTGCTACTGTTCAAAGGGATTTAACAGACAGGTGGTGGCTTTGTAGCTTGATAATACAAAATCTGTCAATTGATGACAGAAAATGAAGGTTGCATTAGGGACTTCATTAGTCAAGGCAGAGCTTCTCTGTAGCTGAAAGTGGTTTTCATGCTAATATAATAGATTCTGCCAGAGAATCTTTCCGGAACCCTTGGTTGACTAAAAATAGCTTCTGATTTGCCATACTTGACCTGCACCTCATCATTTGGTAGCGAGAGGTGTACTGAGGGCTGTGTCCAGCTTTGCCACAGAGCTACTAAAAAGTGATGGGTGGTAATAACGTTTCTCAGCCAGAACGGGGCAATTATGACTGATATAAATGGGGGGGAAAAGTGTGGAATTTGTTGTATTGGTTTTTTTAATCTGTAGTTTTGTGCTGAGCTTGCTCTGCTGCATAATCCAGTTAGTGTTCTAGGTATAACAAATTGACATTCCTACTCTGGATGCCCTGTTGCTCAATGTTGCACTTTGTCATTTTAGGATATCTTTATTCCAACTCCAAGCCCAGCAAAGAAGCATGAAGGAGAAGGAAAAGCTGCTGCTTTAACCCATTCATACTTACCAGGAGATCTCTCTGGACCCACAGATGCTGTGCTGAAGATGTCTGCAGGTGACTCTGTGTCACAGCCTTCCGAGTCCTGCCAGCTGGTGCTCTCTGCCAGCGGCTGCAGCCAGCCCACAGACACAGAGCTCAGCTCAGGCTCTCCCAGCACAGCCTACCAGAGAGACACCAACCAGCCAGAGGTGGTTTCTGAGGGCAAGGCCACTGGCTTGAGCCTCTGTTCTGTGGAGAATGGTGACGTGAAACTGAGGATGGATACAGGTGATCAAGCCTCCTCTGAAAACTATGAAGAAGCAGAAAAGGAGGATTTACAGACTGCAGGAAAGCCTGTCGTGCAGTTAGTTAGTGCAGACGTATCAGGAGATGGGTTAACAGCCTCTGCAGCTGATCAGGAGATGGAGTGTGTTTCTGGAAGTCAGGCTGCTGCAGATCAGTCTGGTCTGCCTGAGATTTTGTCAAGCACTCAGGGTAGAGAAGCACTGCCTGAGGATAATCCATTAGCAGAGGCAGCTGAACATGAGGCCATTCCTGAGACTCAGTGTGAAGAACAAGAAGAAAAACTGCAAGTAAAAGAGAAGGAAATAAATGAAGATGGGTCCCCTGTTAATATAACACTTTCTCAGAGATTTATTCTTGAAAGGGAAGAACAGTGTCATGAAGATATGGAAGTGGAATTTGCTGATGATTCTTGTAAAAATAGCAAAACATTGTCTGATCAGGCTGAAGAATTAGAAAAGATTGAACCAGAAAGCTGGGGAAAAGAAACTTCAAAAGGTTGTACTTTTGGCACCACCGAGGCAAAGAGCACGGATAAACTGTCCTTTAAGGCTGCTTCAGAAAACATGCCAAAGCACAATAAAGTTTTGTATGAGCCTTCTGCAGGGGAGTTACTAGGACAGAACAACAATTCCTTTCCTAAGTTAAAGAGTGATGCTCCATCAAAAGTAGTGTTGTGTGCCAAAGAAGATCCTGGCTGTTCAGAATCAGCACAGATAACAATAACAGATCATCAGCCGCCACCTCCAGACACAGGGGTTGACATGCTGGTGACTCAGCAGGAGAAACAGGTGCCAAAGAACACAGAGGATACTGTCACAGGAAGGAGTCGGGAGCAAGAAGAGGAGATGCAGCCACAGGAGAAGGGAACTGCTAAATCCCCCAGTCCTTTCAGTGGTAAGTGACTGTAGGTTAGTAGCTCACTGGTGTGTATTTGGAAGTGTCAAGGTCAGCTGTGAAGAGTCCTCAGTGTTCTCAAGGAGCATTGATCTTGGGTGCATGTTGAGCAGAGTCTCCTCAGAGCAGCACTGCAGGTGACTGGGTTACAGGCATAACGTGCCTTTACTTTTTTCCCCTTTGTCACACTACTGCAGGCAAGAGTGATAAGGTAATTCTTGTTCCTAACACTCTTGGTGTTTTATGGCAGAAGGACAGAGCAACTTCGGAAACTCAGAATGTTGTCACCTTGGCAATGCTTGGGGTTTTTGTCACTTTTTTTTTTTTCCCCAGAAGCAGCAATCGTGTCCTTGAAGGGAGAAGGGTGTGTGGTAGTTTGTACTTTGCCTCTTCTAGGTCTCCTTACTGTTTTTTCCTTTTTTCATTCTCAGAGCATTGTCTTTGTGGAGTTGTATATGGCAGCTTTGAGCTAGAAACAAATAGAACAAATTTATCTTGAGATTATTTTCAGGTAGAGTGGCTTTTCACTCACTCCTGAGCTGTGGCTAGGCAGGTATTGTCATCACACATTGAAATCCCTTGTGCTGGTGTGTAGTCACACAGAGTATGGGATGCTATTCCTGAATTTTTGTGCAGCTTTTGTCTCTTACTTTACTTCATTTTAAAACAAGAGTTCTGTACTCCTCAAATGAGAAAGTAATAAAAACCAAAGACGTGCTAGAGTAATCGTCCATTAAACTGCAGGATCACAGAGTGAGTTTTCCCTCTCTTATGATGACAGTAGGTGACTTCTGTTGTTCTGAAGTTGGTAATTTTGAAAGCTGAGGATCTGAAAACATCATTTGTCAGTAAGTGATGGTAGTCTTCACATCTCTTGAGCAGGGAGATTTATTATTTAAGTCTTTTTGCAGATTTGCCAGGTAGTTCATGCTGTGTGGATTGTCTGTCATTGTCGGTTCAGTGGAAGGTCACTAGGCCTGTGAAATGCTGGTAGAATTGAATGACCTGTCTAGTGGGAAGGTATTTGTGAACTGCCTGGTAGGTTCAAATTGGCCAGTCTGTGACTTTGTTTTGCAGAAGGTATAAAGCTGTGGGATAGACAGAATTTCTCTAATGCTCAAAGGTCATGGTATTGGTAGATAGCCCTGCAGTCTGTTCTGCAGAGCTTTATTCAAGCAATAATGTTTTCTGTTTTTTCCTGTTGAGTAATTAGAGTAAGATATACTGCTTTAAAAACATTTCCTAATGCTCAGTTTTCTTTTTGCCTTTACACACTCAGTTGATGTCTGAATAATTTCCTGTTCTTTGTCACTGAGGGACATCTCTTCTTCAGTTTATATTTTGCTTTTTTTTGAGAGCTGTATGATTCTTCAAAAAGTCTTCAAAACTTCTATGATTAGTCTTAGGAGTCCAGTTACTGTTTTCTGAGCTGCTTGTTTAATTTTTCCAGCTATGAACTGATCCTTACTGCCGTTTATGGCAGCTTTGGCTGTTTCTTCCTGAAAGCCTTTTGAGCTTGTTCTTATGTAGTTCCCTCCCCTTTTCTTCAGTTCTTGTGACCTTGAACCGTGCTGACTTATGGAACATGTGATCTGCTTTGGAAAGGTCAAAATGGCAGATTGCAAAAAGAAGCAAGAAGAAGAGCTTTCTTCTTTGTGTCTGAACAGAAGTAGGTGAGATGTCTTTGAAGTGCTAGATGGAAACTTGGATGGAAAGGGATTAAATGTAATACTTCTGTGTGGTTTTAATACCAAGTTTGCTGACAAGTTTGAGAAAGATCCATTTAATAGTCTGGAACTGGCTAGTGAGAAGAAACTGGAGATACTGAAAAACAGGATGAAGGTAGTATCTTACACTGCAAGATAAGAGTGACAGGTAAATATTGATACCTGTAAAAGTTAGATTGCAGTAGTGTGTGGAAAAGAGATTGGAATGCTTATGCAGGTCATCAGTTTTGTAGAGATTTCCAGCTAAAGATAATCACAGTGCTCAAACTAGACTTTGCTGTAAGCATCTATTGACCTATTTTCAAACAAAATAAAGCTCAGATTATTTTCAAGGAGTTTGGATCCTTGTGGCTGCAGCTTTTTAACATCACTGACATCTGAGAGCAACTTCTGCTGTGGTTACTTCATTTTGAGCTAAGTATGTTTTTATCATATAAAAATTCCCATGTTTTAGGGGTTCTGATATCTTCTTTGTTTGGATTTTAAAGATCCACTTTCCCAGTGATGTAGTGATACTAATGAATATGTATTTGTTGAGCACTGCTTAATATTCCAGCTATCATAGCAATTTAATTAGTGTAGCTTTTGCACCATTTCTTCTGATTGTGGTTGGACCACTCAGGTGTTGACGAGCTTTTTTGGTTTTGCATTCTTTAACATCCTGTAACTAGTGACCATCGCTTTGTTTCAGAATGTTACAGCAAGCTGCTTTCTTGTTGAGTGTGAAAGTTGAGTGTTTCAGTTGGCCAGAAATGCAATGATTTTTTTAATTTAGTGCATGCTCTGACACTTAAGCAGTACCAGTATTGCTTATTACACACTGGAGACAATTTGATGGGTTGTTTTGTCAATCAAGACTGCGGTGTCATCATTTTCAGGTTTGAGTTCTTAATTTGTGGTATTTAGATGTGTCCTAGCAACATTTTATGCAAAGTTTGGAGGCTGCCTCTCTAATAATATTTAGGGAGAGGTTTGAGTATTGTTTGTAAGGGTACAATTGAATCAGGCTGTATTTTTCAAATAAAATAAAAAAAGCTTCAATGACAAATTGTGGAGACTGCACCCAAAATCTGAACCAACAGGGTCTGAGATGTAAGAAGCTCTTATTATTAGTCTGCCAGGTGTGGGTTTGTAGGCTGGAAGGGATTGTGGTAGCTAAATGCATCAGGAATGAGTGGAGTTTCAGACTTCAGTCTTGAAATGAAACACTTTAAAAATGGAAATCTGCTGTAGGACGTGGTCTGAGAGGTACTCATGAGCTGTTTGTGAGGAACAGTCATTTTCATGTGTTGTGTGCCAAGCAGTGTCAGTACCACTGCACAGTGAAATACCTGCCAGGGGAGTCCTTGCGTTCTTCTCAAGACTGTTGTGGTCGTTGAGCTGTACTTTTCAGACTTGTGACAGCCAACCAGGTGGTGGTCTTCAAGTGGACAATAGGTGGCTTTTCCCTGGGTGGGTTTTCTTCTGTGAGGGAATATGTTTGTTGTGTATTTATGGCTTCATTTACCACAAGGCAGTTGTGTAAATAATATGTCAGCATCTTGTGTACCTGGTTAGGGGTGGGGGGGGTTGGAGAGGAAGGGTTATTCTGTTGGTGTCATTAAATACTTCTATGCAATTTGGCAAGAATGCAACCTGCAAATTACTGATACATGATGCTGAAGATGTGCAAATAAATGGCATGGGGTGAGGTGAAAAGAGAGCATTTTACTAGCTTTCTAAGTATTTTATTTGTTAAATCCTGCAAGATCCACACGTCCACCAAGGTGTGGTCTCCCTGATGGATGGGCTGCCTCAGCCAGTGACCCTGCAGGCCCTTTGTGTTGTGGGGACTGCACAAGAAAGGGCAGGAGTATTGGAGAGGATGGGGCCAGCCATTCTGGTGGCAGCCTGCAGCTAGTTAGGAAACTGCAGAATCTGTTATTTCTCTTAAAGCTTACCTTCCAGGCAGGTTTCTCTTGGCATTGACTAACCCTTAATTGACTGCTACTAATTGTTCAGGCTCATAGGTGGCTGTCTGAAGTGTGTCTGCTGGCCTTTCATTCAAGGCTGTTTGATGATTCAAGGCATCATTCTGGTTAAGTTTCAGGTTATTAATTCAGGCAACACGTAGCTCTGCCAATTCACTTCTGTCCTGACCTCCATTTCTGTTTCTGGCTTCATCTGCCTTTTCTGTGGAAGATCCTGAGCATCTCTGAAGCAAAGCTGCACTCTGCTTAAGTTCTGTTTGTGACAGGATATTTGGTCTCACTTGAGCATGTCTGCATCAGGTTGACAGGAGCCCAGATTTTCACCTAGAGAGATTTTCCACACAACGTGTGAGGAAGATCAGTTAGAGCAGCTGTCCTGAGACCAGTAGCTGGTCAAGGGAGTTTATGTACAGGACAGCAGCAGGGTTGTGCTTTTCCCCATTTCCTCAGCACAGTGAACCTGATATTTGAACCAAAGTAGTCCCCTGAAATGACTAATCCTGGCACTCTGTCTTTTAGGAACCCCGTTTCACTTCAGTTTGCCCAAGGAGGGTGATGCCATTCAGGCCTTGACCAGCATAACCCCACCTCTCAGTGGCCAGCTGAAAATGGGGCCCAGGAGACACAGCACACCCATTGGTGAGTTGGACCTGAAGGGCTCTGTTCCACAGTGAGCACCTTCTGGGAAGTTTTTGATTCTTGATGGAGGCTCTGATAGGTTAACTCAAACCTATCTTGGCAAAAAACATTGCTGAAAGGTGGGGAGGGCTCATCCCTTCTCCACACTTGAACTTTTATGTTGTCTCCTCAGTCCCTAACGAGGGTGTTTGCTGCCTGAGCACGGGGAGTGTATGGAATATGTCTTCCTTGCACTCACTGTGTTCCCACATACAGCTCCATTAAAGAATGCAAAAGACCACTCTGAGTAGTGGAAAAGCTTAGACTAAAACAAGATTGTTCCCAGGATTCATCATCTTTTTTTAGCAGGACTTTAGCAGAACTCTGCTAGGTTCACAGAACAGCACCCTGCATTTGCTGGATGGATGTATTTCTGCTTGGGGAGTAGTGAAGTGTTGTGTTGCAAGCTAAGCCTGGTGCCTGTGCTACAGAACCTTCATGCTCCAGAGCTCTAGACAGGACTTTGCTGCCCTGTTGCTGATAGTATGTGCAGTGAGGCACCTGCAGAGCAGAACTGGGACCTGAGCCCCCACATTGTGAGTGACTCTAGCTACTTTTACATGTTTTTGTTGTGTTTTTTTTTGTTTTCCTGTTTTCAGTGGATGACAGTTGCCCAGACAACACTATAGCAACTAGTGATGTCACAGCAGAGGGCCTGATGAGGACCAACAATGTCACTGTGGAAAGTGCAATGGCATCAGCAGATGTGTCAGAAGTGTGTGAGAAGGGAGATTCTCCTGAGGTTCCTGAGGCTGAGGCAAAACTCTCCCCACGAATGAACCTTGTTCCCCCTGTGAAAGATGGGAGTGAGGAGTCGCTGCCCTTCAGCTTGGAAAGTAAGAGGGTGAACTGTGGAACAGACAGGTCCTATTAGATCTCAGCCCTAAATCAAAACCTCCTTGTGGCATTCCCCAGGAAAGTCTTGTGCCATTCCCTGAGACAGTCTCTGAGTCTCTGTAATTTTTCTCATTTTCTTTTTGGGCAGTGTCACTTAAATTTGTTTATCTGTTTCTGCAATGCTCTAAGCAAGGATGGAGTGAGAGGAGAGGCCTCTGTTGTGAGGAAAGGTATTTCCAGCAGACTAAAAATTGTGATGTATAGTGGCAATGTCACAGGACAGGAGCTGGAGTTTGATTATATTGGGAGGGAAAAGATTCTGGAAGTATAATCTGGACAAAAAAATTGACAGCTTGTTAATCACAACAATGACATTCAGTCTAACAGTCTAAAACTTGTAGACACTCCGGTCTGTGATGAGAAGGTGGGTGGGGAGCACTGGGCACCCTTTGTCCAGCGTTACTCAACCTCTCTGCTGAGTGTGGGGGGGCTTGGAAGGGGCAGGAGAGTCTGTTCAAGTGACACTGAAGTCATGCTTCTCTTCCCTCTCTTTTCAGAGCCTACAGCCAGTGATAGGGAAGATGGATCTGCTGCTGCTGCCAGGTAACTGGTCTTGTTGCTGCACAGAGTTAATGTGAAGGTCTGGGTAGATCCTGTTTCTGCTTGTTACCAGCAGCAGCGAAAAAAAAATAAAATGAGATGCAGAAGCAGGGGATGCTTTAAGCAGTAGCCACAACATTAACTCTAGCTCTTGCAGCAGGTTTAGGTACATGGGCAAGGTAGATGCCCCACCTGCTCTTTCACTACAGTCTGCCCTATCCACCTCTGAAATCTCAAATACATGTTTTTCTGCTTTCTTTCCTTGTGCAGTTTTCTGCAAAGAATCTCTAAGGAGTTCTGAAAGGGAATTCTCATTTGATGTGAAGCATCAAAACATAACCAGGTCACTGATACACTGAAATCACCAGTTTAACATGTTGACCAAAGCATAAGTTTCTCCCTTAGTCTTTTGATTTGTATCTATCTTGCCTTGCACTTAATGCTTAGTGTTGCTTTTGGGGAATGTGGTTTGTAAGTGCTATTAAGAGTCTGAGTCAGAAGGCAACGACTTGTGGTCATCTGAGCGAAGGTTTGAAGCAGTGAGGAAGCTTTGAAAAAACCTCAGTATCTCTTGTCACAGGATTGCATGCTGGGTGGTAGTCATGCCTCAGTGCTGGGGTTGGGTGGCAGTCACTCCCCACTGGCTGAGGATGGGTTGCCTTTGTAGGTACAGTTTGAACTTGATCTCACAGGGTCTGCTTTGTGACGGTCATTCCCAATATTTTTGCAGTGTCACTAAAATCCTGAGAAGTGAGCCATAAAAGGTCTGTGTCCCATGGTGGGCACTAGAGGCAGCAAATGGTGAAAGTCCTGATGGTGCTGCAGATTTCCACACTGTTTTCTGGAATTGTTACGTTGCTCTTGACTGTGAGGGTGTCTGCAGAAAGGACAGAAGTGCTTGTGCAATTGCAGCTTGTTGTTTCCCTTTGAGACCCACCATTTCACTCATTCTGGGGCTGTGTAGGTCAACAAGTGCAATACCAGTTGTTGCTTTCCCGAGGGGCTAGAGAACTCTTGATTTGCTATAAAAGGGATTTTCTCACTCCCTGATGCTTTTTTGTTTGTTTGTTTGTTTGTTTTAAATCTGCACTGCTAGCTCCCAGAAAGCATCATCTGTGTTTAGTCGTGTCTGTGAAGTTCGTCGAGAGGATGAGGCCAGAGGTCATGGTCTTTCCACTTCTCCGTTTAGGTAACTCCTCACAGGCTTTGCCTGCCAGTCCTGGTTGGATTTATATGCACATGTGCATTTTCTACATCAAAGAAATTGCACTAAGTCATTGTCTTTTGGTGACTTAGAAGGTTGGGGACAACGGGGTAAGTATAAGTACTGTGTGTTGTATCTCACATGGTAACCAATTGTAGCTTTTGTCTGAGCAGTGCTGTCATTCCAGCTGGCTAATTTTACTGCTTGAGTAAAACCTGGGGCTTGGGAGACCTGAGGTCATTCCTACAGCTGTTTAAATACCCTTTCTTTCTCCTGTTCCAGGATCTTCTGACCTGTTGTGTTTGTTATTGTTTCTGCTGTTGTCTCCCTTCCAAGTCCATCAATTTTTGCTGTCTCTGGTTGCTTTAAAAAGGACTGTACTGCTGCATATCTTATGGTGATAAGGGTGCTGGCTGGAGGACCAGGTGTAGAAATCTGATTCTTCAGTGTTATTCTGTCTTTGGACGAGGCAGTGAGGTCTTGGTCTACAGAGAACGAGTAACCTATATTTCAAGAGCACTGAACAGTTGTACCAAAGCTGAGTGCTGAGCAGTGTACAAACAGAACAGAAGTCAATCCTCCAAGCCCTTAAGTACACAGGGGAAGCCCAATGTGGACTTCGAGGAGGGGCCAGTACACACTCCCACATGGTACTTGACAGCAGTTTTGACAGGGCATATGGATTCTAACGAAGGCATTGGACAGCACTTGTGGTTATGCTGCTGCTGCTTTCTGCTGGGTGTCATTACCAGTTCCGAACCAATGGAGTGCTGAACTAGCCTGTAGAAATTCCAGGATGGGATGAGTTTCAGGAGCGTGGTGCACAGGTGGTGCCTGACCTATGGAGGATGGATTACTTTATTAGTGTTTGGAAAAGCAAGTTCTCTGCAGGTGTCAGCCATTCTTCTTGCAACCATGTTGGAGCACTTGGGAGATGCTGAAGGGTTATTTTACAATTTTCTGCCATTTTAAGAATCAATTAAATGCCAGGGTTTTTTTAATAGTGCTTTTGTTTGAGAGGAAGCATATTGATTGTCTTGCTTTTTTAATAAATAATTTTTATCTGTATCTAACTGGTTTGCAGGGGGAATCTGTTCAGCTCTCCTGACACACAAGAAGATGCTGAATTACATAAAGATGCCAGTGTTTGGCATTACAAGCAACACAAGGCAGACAACAGTGATGACCAGGTCTTGATTCCACAGAAGATGCAGCAGGACTGCCATCAGCAACCTTCTGGTGCGGGGGATGGGGAGTCTGTGGAGGCTGGTATTGTAGACACTCAGAGAGAAGAAGGGAGAAGGGTGCAGAAGAAACCAAGTAAGACTGTGCAAATTGATGGAAGCCAAGAGAGGTGGGAATACACCAGGAATAAAGAGATTCAAACTACAGCAGACTTGCTTTTTACCCCAACAACTGTTACAACAGCAACACAAACGTCAGAAGAAATTTGCAGGCAGGTGGAGGTGGGAACCAGCATGTGTGGGCAAAGACCTGGGAGACAAGATGCACATGTCCAGACTGAGGAGAGTGGGGAGAAGCTTGTGAATGCCTCTGGAGAGGGCATGGACTCTCTGCACAGTCAGGTGGGTTGGAGTCTGTCTGTATTTAATCCTACTGCTTTAGAACACTACAGTATCCCTTCAGCCAGTAAACCCACTAACAGTTGATTATCTCTTGAAAAAAGCTAGAAGACCACTTTAAAATGTTCGTGTCACAAGCTCTCCTGTATCAACTGTGTGTAACTGCTAAGGTAGTAATACTCAGTGGGCAGCATAAGTTTGGAGAATAAATGTTTCCAGCTTTATTTTCTGGAAAAATAAGACAAGGTCTGTTTGTTTTGTCCAGGTGTAGTTAACATTGTAAAAAAAATTTACTGCTTGGTGAATGGAGATGGGAGTTGCATGGCATTTTTAAGGAAGGGTTTGATACCTTCTGTTTTGCACCAGCCAACTTCTGACAGCTTCTTCTGCCACTCCATCCAAAGTCAGTGGATAAACACGTGAGGGGAGAGCTCCTGAAAAATGTTCCAACAAGACGAATAATTCAAATTATTATTTCATAAAGTATTCCAAACTCCTGAAAAAATCACTGCTTTGCTGTTAGAGCTTGTAACAGCAAGAATACACAAACACAGGCTAGAAAAATAGTTCATCCTCTGGGAAACGGGAGGTTACCAGGGACACAAACAAGCAGTGCAATGCCGACGTGGAATGTCTGAGGGTCCACTGAATCAGTACCACGTTAAGCAAGTTGGCTGTTTCCTCCTTGTTCTGCTCTGATTTCCTTCCTCCACCTGCCAGCAAGTTGGCAAAATGTGATCAGTTCCCCCTTGTTTTGGGTCCCTTGTGCTGGTGGAAGGTTCCGTGCCCCAGGGCTTGATCATGGTATGAAGAAGCTCCTGCAGAGGAAGCTCTGCCCAGGAATTACTTGCTTTTCATTCTAGACTTGTTGGGGTTTTTTTGTGTTTTGGGTTGTTGTTTGGGTTTTTTTGTGGTTTTGTGTTTGTTTGTTTGTTTGTTTACTTTTAATTTGTCCTGTTCCTCACAGGGAGAGGAGGAGTTTAACCTGCCCCCCGCCAAGGGCCGGGTCCGGCACCGCCACACGCGGACCATCCGGGAGGTGCGCACCGTGGTCACCCGTGTGATCACAGATGTGTTCTACATCAATGGGGCAGAAGTGGAACGCAATGTAGTTGAGGTAAGGTCCTGTTCTCAGGGCTAAATGTGGTGATACCGTGGCTGAAAAATAAAATGAATTACAACGCGGGTGTGTGGTGGCTGCAGAAAATGAGCTGAGTGAACCATCAGTGCGCTGTGATGATAAACTTTTCTTCATGAGCAAACATGGACTGTTTGGTGCGTGGTGAAAGCTGTTTGTTTGTGGCTGTATTTCATGCCTGTTGTTGTATTCTGAATCTACAAACCGTCCAAAGAACTGAAGAAAAGACTTGACTATGTTCACCTAGCTGTTTAAGATTCTTGGAGTTTTGTCAGAGATTTCAGAGTGGGCAGAAATTCTGTTAGTGAACACAAAGTCACTGCTGCCTATAAAACTGAACTGTGTGAGGTAGTTTAGCCTGTTTTGCAGCTCAGTGTCATTTTTAGCTGAAGTCTTGAGTCCTGTGAACCAGATTCCATAAGAGGTCTACAAAAAGCAACTGAAAAACAAAAAATAAACAAGCCTGGTTTTAGTACACTTGTGTTGGTGTATGACTGTTCATTAATCGGAAGATCTTCAGGGAATCTCAGAAGATAGCTGACCAATGTGTAGTAATCATATCAGTCTGCTAGCAATAAGATGTTACTGCTGTTGTGCTATAAAGATAAATAGTGTAAGAGTCTTGTGCTGTTACAACGAGTAAGGATAAACTAATTCTGTGCAGGGTTTATACTTTCACATCTCATGCAACACATGAAATTGCTTATTGGAACATTAAAAAAGATAATTAAAAATGTTTCCTGAAATGTGCTTACATAGGCTTTGTGATCACAGTCACAGAAATATCTCTCTTGTATCTACCAATATGTGATATCATTGTTTGGTAGATACATATTTTAATATCCATAAAACTTTAATGGTTCCAAATGACCAGCTGTTTGAAATTTATCTTGTGGTTTTAGTACCCAAAGGTTGCTGGTGTCCCGTGTGTTTCTTGCACTCTCACACTCTTGAAGGGAGGGAATTGATCAAAGCCAAACTAGTTTCATACCAACCAAGCTCTGTCCTGTTGACCGACTTCTTAATGTGACTTTATACAGAGCAGCTACAGCCCTATAGTGAGTGACACACTCTGCCACTGGTCAGCCCAGACTCAAATCTGCCTGCCCGTCTTCAGTGTCATGAATGTGGTCTCAACTTGTCTGTGCTTTTGCCTGGTGATCAGAGAGCTTCCATCTAGCAAGACCTTTGACAAACATAATTTTTTCATTTTTTCTTTTTTTTTTCCCCTTCTTTTTTTCTCTTTTTTTTCCCCATTTCTTTTTCCCTTAAGGAAACTGAGGAGCCTGTAGTGGAGTGCCAGGAGTGTGAGACTGACACATCCTCCTCTAGAACTGCAGTGGGCTCATCACTGACCTCAGGGGATCTTGGTGATGTCAGCTCCTTCTCATCTAAGGCCTCAAGCCTCCATCGCACCTCGAGTGGAGCAAGCAGTGGTCACTCTGCCACACACAGCAGCAGCAGTTCAGGGCGAGGAACTGGAGCTGCCAAAGGAAAAGTGTGTGGGACAGAAACTGGAGAATTTGCTTTACCTGTTGGCAGAGGCATCTTAGGAAAATCAAGGTACAGTCAGCCTTGGGAAAGGAAGAACAGATTTTGTAGAAGTGAACAGCTGGCTTGGGTGGAGTAGGGTAGACTCTTAACCAGGAATTTTCTAGGAAGGATCTGGCTTGTTGAACAGAAATAAGGCAGTCTTTGCTGTCACATCTAGTGTGTTTCCTGTGAGGCAGGTACTTTGCCTCAGCTCTTGTCAGTTCAGCAGTGAGGAGCAAAGTGTCCTGACCAGCTGGGAGATCACAGAGAAGCGCAGGGTTTCTAATGAGCTGGTTTCTCCTTTCAGAATACTCAACTCCTAATTTCTCTAGCCCTAGGAAAGGAGCAAGTCAGCCAGCATCCCCGCTCAGAGTTAACCAGGCAGGAGCACTGCCATGTGAGGAGGAGGAGGATGCTCTGCCTGGCACCCGCCTGGGTGGCAGAGCACCTGGGACACCTCGTGGACGAGGAAGAAGAGGCCGCCCACCATCTCGAACAGCAGGAACAAGGTACCCTGGAAAAAGGAGACTAATGTTAATTTATTTCCAAGGAAGAGAATGGGGAGCTGGTGCCTTCAAGTGACAGAGGAAAAGGAATACTGGATGTTTCAGGAGCTAGTTCTAGATAATATCATGGAGCAGCTGCAAGCATCTTGCCCCCAAGTATTCTTTGTTGAGTAACTGTTTTTCCTGGTCCTTTTGGGAGTGCTTTTCTCTTTTTTTCCTTCTCAGACTGCTTTTTTTTTTTCTACAGAGATGTAACAGGACTGCCTGGTGTTGAGGATCTCTCAACTACAGCATCACCTGAGGAGAAATCATTTACTCGCTCAATTCGCCTGGCAGATGGAGGGGAGAAATCTGACACTTCTGGCTTCTGTGCCTTGCGCCGAAGTGACTCTCCAGAAATCCCACTGCAAGGGGTGACTGGGTCTTTGGACTGCACAGACTCATCCTCTGGGAACAGCTTTGTGGGCCTCAGGGTTGTAGCAAAGTGGTCCTCAAATGGGTACTTCTATTCCGGGATGATCACCCAGGATGTAGGGGCAGGAAAGTACAAGCTGCTCTTTGATGATGGATATGAATGTGATGTGCTAGGAAAAGATATTTTACTCTGTGATCCCATCCCACTGGAGACTGAGGTGACTGCACTATCAGAGGATGAGTACTTTAGTGCAGGTAAGACCAGTGCTCGAGCTCCATCCGTGGGTTTCCTGAGTTGCTGAATGCAATGGGAGGTGGCTGCTTGTCCAGGAGGAACAGAAGTCTGGGAATAGTTGCTTAGCAGGTGTTCCCTGCTGTCTTGCCAGGTGTGGTGAAGGGACACCGGAAGGAGTCTGGGGAGCTTTACTACTGCATTGAAAAGGAAGGCCAGAGGAAGTGGTACAAACGAATGGCTGTTATCCTGTCTCTGGATCAAGGAAATAAGCTCCGGGAGCAGTTTGGGCTGGGTCCTTATGAACCTGTCACGCCCTTGACCAAAGCAGCTGACATCAGTCTGGGTAAGGGGACATGCTGGTGAGCTGCTGGCTGGACTGTTTGTGTCTTGTGTCTTTCAGATGCTTCTAGTTCCTGAAATTAATTACCCACATTTAAACTTTTCAGGGTATTCAGCAATGCTTTTGATGCTTAATAATGGGATCTTTGAGATACTTTTCTTGTTTTGTGTCTTGCTCAGAGACTTAGTGGTATTCACTGGTTTGTGGAGAGTGGCCTGCTTGCTGTGCTCATTTACACTTGTGGATGGCTGCTATGAGACAAACTCTTCAGCAGTGCTAGGAGGAAAAGAGACAGGGTACAGGGCTTGAAAATAAAGAAACACAAGTGAGATATCTTTTTTCTTGCTCTTCTCTGTCAGAGGGTGGTAGTGTGTACCTTCTAGATACTATTGACTTTAGCCACCTCTCTACATATAGGTAGGGTGAAAGCTCATGGAGCTGGTGCCCTTGGTGCCTGATCTCTGCACACTCTTGCAGATAACCTTGTGGAGGGGAAGCGGAAGCGACGCAGTAACCTTGGTTCTCCCAGCACTTCCAGCAGCAGCACAACTCCCACTCGTAAAGGGCAGGAGAGTCCACGTGTCCCACCGGGCACACTGTCTGGGAAAAGGAAACTTGTTGCTTCTGAAGATGAGAGATCCCCAGCTAAACGTGGCCGCAAGTCAGCAACGATGAAGCCTGGTGAGGACCCTGCTTCCTGCTCTTAAACTGCCATTCAGCTCTTTCTGTAACTGATCTTTGTACTTCCCATAAGCAAAAAGCAGATGAGATTGCTTGTTTGCCCTGCAAGATTTGAGACTGATTCTCCCTGGATGCATTCAGCAGCCAAAGACATTTTTTACAGAGTCTGAGTACTTACCTGCCATCTTTTCAGTTCTGCCTTTTCCTTTCTTGTCTCTTACCTGCTTAGTCAGTTCCTTAGTCAGGGACCCTTCACAGCAATAACTTGTTTCAGGATGTTGATAGACTGACATTGTCCCATTAGTCAGTCAGGTTTTGATTTGAAGATTTTTTGCAACCAGAAGGTTAAAAGATCCCTACCTGTCCTAGTGTAATCCTGACCTAATTCTGCCTCCCCTGTCTCCACTAGTAAAATAACTGGAGTTGAACATATTGCAAATCCTACTCAGGGTCTTTGTGCTGAACCTGACTTGTGAGACTCCTGGTGCTTCTGTTTCTCTGCAGGGTCTGTGAGAGCCGGAGAGTTTGTAAGCACCTGTGAGGGTGTAGAAGCTGTAGATCCCCCAGTACTGGAGGACCATCATGGACCCTTGCCTCACAATAAGACCCTCTTTCTGGGCTATGCCTTTCTTCTCACTATGGCAACACCCAGTGACAAGATTCCCAATCACCAGAAGCCATCAGATGGTCCTGCAGGGAGCAGTGAGGAGGAAGAAGGTGAGCCAAATCTTACCTGTTGCATTTCCAAGTAGAATGCTGTAGCTCTGTGGACATAAGCAGATAGGTTATAGCCAAAAACTAATATTTCTTTTTCTGCTGTAGAATTTTTACCTGTGACTCCCTATGACAAACATTTCATAGCACAGCAGTTGCGGGCAGGAGCTGGCTACATCCTGGAAGACTTCAATGAAACCCAGGTAAGGCCTTGCTTACTTATCTAGAACAATAGTTGCAGAATAGCTGAGATTGGAATGAATTTCTATGGCTCATCTTGTCCAACGCCCCTGCTGAAAGAAGGATCAAATAGAGCAGATTGCTTAGGTCCTTGTCTGGTTAGGTTTTTAATATCCTTGAGGATAGAAACTCCACAACTTCCCTGGACAACTTCATCCTGTGTTTGACCACTCCTGATTTACAAAAAAAAAAAAAAAAAAGAAAAAAGGAATTTCTTGTATTTTGATTTGTACCTGTTGCTTCTTGTCCTTTTACTGGATAATACTGAGAAAAGTCTGGCTCCCATCTTTTGTACACCCTCCTGTCAGGCATGAATATGCAATTGATTAGATCCCCAAGCCTTCCCTTCTTGACCTTGAGCAAGTTCAGCTCTCTCAGTCTCCTCTTGCATGCCAGATGCTCCAGTGCCTGGACATCTCAGTGGCCCTGGGCTGGGCCTGCCCCAGTATCTCCAGCATGTCTGGGGTGTCTGGTGTGCTGTGGAGTCTAGGGGTGGGTGCAGTGCTCCACCAGTGGTCCCACCACACTCTGTGCCTTGGAACATGTAGGAGGAGACCTCTTCACTCACTAGATCTGTTTGGACAACTGATTTCATTTAGTGTCACCTTTACTTAAATTTAGATTTTTCATAGTTAGATTTTTCCTGAGGGTGCAGAGTCTTCTCCAGTGACTTAACTGATTCTGAAAGGAAAAGATGAATCTTCTCCTTTGAGCTGGAAGAGATAGTTATGATACAAAACCTACTAGGCAGAGTTTGCCTGTGAACTTCATCTTTTGCAATAGGTCATAATTATAGGTACACCTGATTTCAGAAGGTGTGTAACTAATTACCTTTCTCCTGTTCTCGTGTCCCTGTCTCCCTGAAGTGTAATGCAGCCTATCAGTGTCTTTTAATCGCTGACCAGCACTGTCGAACCCGGAAGTACTTGCTGTGCCTTGCCAGGGGGATCCCTTGTGTGTCTCACCTCTGGGTCCATGATAGCTGCCATGCTAACCAGCTTCAGAATTACAGGAATTACCTTTTGCCAGCTGGTTATAGCCTCCAGGAGCAAAAGCTGCTAGAATGGTAAGTGCCAAATAACTGTGATCTGAGACCACAGACCAAAGGTTTGATCAGAGAGAATTATTGTGCTTGGGAGACTCATGAATACTACAGGTACTGAAGGTGTCCCTAGTACTGCTCCCTATGCTTTCCATTCCATATAGGAGCAGCACTTCCATCTCTTTCCTTGGATTTTAGTGACCTCCAGTGCCAAGATACATTTGGATGCCATATGCACAATACAGTCTCCTGGGAAGTCAGAAAGAAGTCAGTCTCCTCATGAGGAAGACTGAATTCAGGCAAGGCTTCCCACACACTTGGCTGCCTTCTCTAGGTGCTCAGAAATGGATAAAGGAGAACAATACTACTGCAGTTTCCTTTTCTTTTGGTACATTTTGAAGCCAGCTTCTCTATTTTCTATGTTGTCTAATCCAGTAGGTCTGTTTTGAGAGACCAATTGTCAGGTCAGACTCCTTAGGCAAGGTGAGGGACAGACAAAAGCAGGTTATAAATCTCCATGGGCTTTTGTGCAGGAGAGGGATGTCTGCCTGCTTGACTCTGTCAAAACAGGCATTTTGGATATGCACAGAAAAAGTGGTTGAGGATTAAAGAGGGTCTTACCCTAGTTTTGGATTTAGGATGCTGTTGTAAACAGAGGCTGATTTGAGGAGGGGTGGTAAGAGAGCAGACCATATCTTGCATATCTTGTATGCAAGATATTCAAAGAACCAATATGAGAGCAAATTGGGTGACTAGGAGGAGATAATGGTCCTCAAATAAAGTCACAGACTATTGGATGTTCTCAGTAGTCTGCATTTCTTTTCTTTATTCTGCAGGCACCCACGAGAAAACCCATTCCATAACCTGAAGGTGCTCCTGGTGTCAGACCAGCAGCAGAACTTCCTGGATCTGTGGTCTGAAATCCTCATGACAGGGGGAGCAGCATCTGTTAAACAGCATTTCTCAAATGCTCACAACAAAGGTAATCATTGATCAGTCTCTCAGGCCCAGTAGTTGGGAATTCCATGCCACCGTGGTCTGTAGCATGGTTTAAAAGCATTTAGGATAGCTTGGAAGGTTGCCTGTAGGAACAAAGGAAGACAAAGGACAGACACTAGTTCTCTGTTTGAATGTAATCTAGAAGGCTACATCTAGAAGACCTGCCTTCCAGAGGAGGTGCTGCAGCAGTTCAGGACAGAACCTGTCAGCTTCCAGCCTGTGTTGAAAGGGACCTTTTGCAGGCCACTGAAATTGTGCTTCCTTCTCCTTCTGACTTTGGCTGGCTCTCTCTCTCCATGTGGGATGTAGGCACTGGCACTTACAGCCTGATGTCAGTAGTCACAGTTATCTAGTCCTGCCTGTCATGTTGGCTACTGGTTTTCTGCTCATTTCTATCTGGACTAGAGGGAATCTTTTATTTGCAAGGTGTAGTGTTGCTGTAGAGCATGTCAGCTTTTACAGAGAATGAGAGGACATAGAGATTCAATGGTGAAACACTGATCTGTGCAGAGAAGATCCTTTTTCTTTTTTTCACCTGACAGATGCCTGTCTTTCCTCCTGTGCAGATATTGCTTTGGGTGTTTATGACGCGGTGGTGACTGATTCTTCCTGCCCAGCTGGTGTCTTGAAGTGTGCAGAAGCTTTACGGCTGCCTGTTGTCTCACAGGAGTGGGTGATCCAGAGCCTGATTGCTGGGGAGAGAGTAGGATACAACAAGCATCCCAAATACAAACATGACTACATCCCCCACTGAACTCAAACTTTGCCCTGCTGTTGTGCAGACTGTGTTTTAATCAGGTTTTAAATGTTTGTGTAACTGGACAGTGTGCATGGATTACTGTATATAGTTTTATCTGCTAGACTTTTATGATGAAATAAATGTTCAATCTCTTGTGGTAGCTGCTGGGACTCCTCATTAATCTAAACATATTCCAGGGCTGTGCCTCTAGAGGCAGGCAGGGAGAGAACAATGCTTATGTTTCTCTGAGGTGAACAGCACTAATATGCTTTCAGTGAAGGCTGATCTCAACATAAAGTCCTTTATAAAGGAAGGGAAAGGTGTTCTCAATTGGCACCCTGGATTTACAGAAGTGAGCTGTGACCAAGTTCAGGGCAGCAGCAGCACTTTGGTTTGTTGGAAGAACAGCACATGTACTGCAGCTTAGTGTTGTTATTTTCCATTAATTTCATAAAGATGTTGCTGAAGTGAGTGGTAAAGGATCTCTGAGACAAAAGTGGTTTTTTGTGTTGGCTACCTCTTTTTTTCCTATTGTGACTGTATACGTATCAACCTGCCTTAGTGCAGACTGGCACGTCCTAAGTAGAGATGTAGCCACAAGGACCTAGGACAACTGAACTGTGTAAGTGCTGTGTATCTGTGCTTATATGGTAGTGGGGCAAATCTTCTGACTTAATGCTTCTCAACTGCTGTGTTCACAGCCAGGCACTTTATCTTAAGTGGTTAACTGGCACCAAGGCAAAAGCCAGGTTTAGCAGCTCCTCACTTGACAATGCTACAGGCTGGAGGTATATCCAGGCCTCCATCCAGCCTCGTGAAGTTCACTTCAAAAGTGGAAGTTTATCTTGAAGTGTATTTTCCCCCCCTCTCATTTCCTAGCTCAGTCACCTGACTGTGTTGGTCTGTAAATCCCACGTGCAAACTTCAACACCCTTTCTCCAGTTTTCTTGCCTTTTTTCTGGTCACAGGATTTTAAACTTTGCATCAGTCCTACCATGAACAGCCCTAGTGCACACTTGCTGTGTCTTTCTGAGCGAGCAGAGAGGATTTTTTTCCCCCCTCCCAAGGACACAACTTTCTGGAGAACTGCAGCTTTTGGATACTGTGAAAATACCAAGCCTTTGAGGGGAACACTGGTTTCCTGGCAGCCTTTGTGTTCAACCTGGGAAAGCAGCCCAGTAACAAGTGGAGGGCTCTCTTCTGCCACATCCACGTGGACTTATGGTAAGATACTGTTATCCCAAGGCTGGGAAATAGTAGAAACATCCAAGAAGTTCCTGCCAGATAAGTGCTTTTCACTGAAATAGGCTGCTGGGCCACTTAAGTGCCTTCGTACTTGGCTGCAGACATTGGTAACTCCACACAGTTGCATGACAAGATGGTTTTATTTTGGTTCAGTAGGATTGTCACTAGTAGCATTCTAAATAGTCTTGAATAAAACCAGAACATTTAGAGCTGGCAGCCTAGTTCACTTTCTCCGTGTCAGTTCTGATTTACTTTTCTGCCAGGAGGGAGAGCTTTGTACTTTTGAATAGGGCAAAGCTCCTACTTCTGCCTTGACATGCATAATTTTAGCACAGAAAATATATAACGTTTTCTAGAGAAAGCACTTGTGACTCCTTTACCCACACAGACGTGCTAGAATAGTGCACTGTAGGAGAAGAGAGCCTTAAAATC